CTTCTTGTACTTGATCTCTCCAGAGCTGAACTCACGATTAGATGAAGAACAGATTTACTTCCTGAATATTATTACACTTCTGAGATCGCATATTTCAAAAACTTGGGCTTAAATCTGGGGCAGTTATATTTGAAGAATTTATGGTAATGGTAGAATTCTGAGAATATAAAGGCTGAAAGGAAAATCTTCATAAAGCTCAGTAAAGGAATAAAGATCTAAGGCTGACTTTTTATTTGTGATCCTCCTATGCTTTTGCCAGCTATGAAAACTATGGGGAGCTCTAGACTGAGCTTTACCTACTTGCAGTGAAATCTTCTCCTGTTTTCTGATTTTTTTTCTTCCCTTGTTCATTTTAAGAAGCTTTATGTGACTTCAATGACAAATATGGTTGCTTCCATGCATGGCATAGAAATGAAGAAAATGCTATAGCTAAAGACCTTTGTTTGGTGAAGTATTGCACCTAAAACTGTGTCATATTCCAATACTTGATTGCTGGTATCTGACCATAACCACAGTTAGAAGAAAATAAAGTCATTGTGTACTTGCTGACCAATTCTCAAAGGTCTCATAAGCCAGTACCAGAATTCTTGAAGCAGTCCGCTATCTCTTCTAAAATGAAATTTAAATTTACCTCTTTGCACAAAGTCTTTATGCTATTTCAGTAAGATGTATCCCTTCAAAAGGATGTTCAGTAGTTTCAAAGGGGCTTTTTTGCTGCTTCCTGGACCGAGGGGTGACTTTCAACTGTGTTCTCATTTCCTAAGAAGAAAAGGAGAAATAATATAAATATTGCTTTTGTCAGAACTACTACAGAATTTCTCTGGGATTGGAATCTAATTAATCATATGAAGCTCCTTGGTAAAATACAGGCATTTTTATATGTTTCCCATATCACAAGCAATTTTATGTACTTTCAGTTCATAAATGCAAGCTTCATTCAATCTGAAACTGTAATATTCAACAAAATTTCCCTTGATATGAGTCAAAAATGTCCTAAATGATTTTTGGTCCATATTTTACTGTCTTTGCTTCCAATTAAATGATCTGTGAATACTGGCAATTACACTGAGTTCCTTTGCCAAATCACTGAAGTATCAGTAAAGGGTCATCATTTAAACAGCTACAAATTAATCACAAAAACCAACCTTTAACACATGCATACAGTGATTTTAATGTGGAATAGCCCCCTTATGCCTCTTAATTTTTCTTTTTGTGAATTGCATCACAGGACATTAAACATGTTTCAGCTCATGGGACTGTGTCAGTCATGTTTTTAGAAATTGAAAACAAATGCTAAAATATGATAAATAATAATATTTGAAGCAATAACAGTTTCCTAGTAGGCATGCCTAATTAATAGATTGCTTAGGTTTTCAGCTTGTAAAAGTAACAGTATCTTTCACTAGCTGAAATGATAGAATATATTTTTTAAATTATGAGTTTGACAGTAACATGAAAATATGCAAACCAAAAGGGCAAGAAAGTCAGTAACAAGTATAGAATTAATTTGTGAAATTATTCTCCTTAGCTGAATTATCATCCTTAGCAGAAAGTAGATAGGATTTTTTTTTTTATATATATTCCAGTGGCATATTAGTAAGGATTCAAACTGCGTGGCTTCCCAGCAGTATATTGTTACCATGTTAAAAGTCTGTATGATGTCAGAAGAGAAGGAGAAATGGGATAAAGATAGGGTAGTTTCTTGCTCTTGTATAGGAAGTTACTGGAGTTTGGAATTAGAAGGTATGAGGTGGCAAAGAGGAAGGAAGTTAAAATATTCATAGCATGGATTCCATTTTTCCCTGGAAACTGCAAAGGGTAGTCTGCTGGACACATGGCTCATTTACAACTGGCACACTTGGAATGGTCCTGAACAACTTAAGGTGGTAAAATACCTTGCTGGATAAAATTATCTGGAAAGGATTGTGTCATGAGACCAGTGGAGCCAAATGCCTCAATAAATGTAGTTTGTTAGCCCTTCTATCCTTATAGTGAAAACATGGGTGCATAGTCATGTGTTTTGGTCTGGTGTCATGATCTTCACAATCTCTGTATAAACCTGTAAACTAGAAAATATATTCTGTGCTACAGTGTGAAAATAACTATTCCTTTTTGAGTTTGCTCATGGGGAAAATAAATATATAAATGATAATACAAGACATTAAGAGAAGAAATGAAAACTCCTCATTCCAGCAGCAAGTGCAAATTTTTAACTGGGCTGGAATTTTACAGTTGTGGTTTGTAGGTACCAGTGAACCTTGCAATGTTTGATCTGAAAAATGACATATCCAGTTATAAGCATGATGCTGGAATATTAATTCATTAATACATGGTAGGAAAAGGAACCATATTCTAAACTACTGAGGACATCTGCACTGCCAAACATAATTTCTTACTTGGCCAGCACTTGTTAGGCTGATAAAATGACAATAGATATCATTTAAGGAATGGCTTAAAACTTTATATAAAAGAGTCTGGCATACAAATGTGTGCTCTTGTGGTGATTTCTTTGCAATCCAAAAAAAAAGAAGAGGAACTGTGACACAATTTTTTGAGGTTTTCTCAATGAGTGTTATGAATGTTAAGGTCACTAAGGTTTCCTGGAATGCAAAGCTTTTATTATACGCAGTAAGTGAACTCCCATTTAGCTAGGATAACCATCCTTCCATTTGTCTGTATGTTTTCTTTCTCTACAACTCCTACTGATCAACATAATTGATTGGTAAATTTTCTGAAGCTCAGAATATTGATTAGTTCTTGTCAGAATGGCATCTAGGAAAGTTGAGGTTGATGCATTTGATCTGTTAGCAGAAATCCTCAGCTGTTTGAAGGGAATCTGCTTCTGTGAAGAGTAGCTGGTAACATGAATACATGATTAATAATATGTAAATATGGAATCTTAGAAACAAAACTTACCTCGTGTAAGACTAAATTGTCTTTCTGCTCTGTACTTCTTTCTGATTTGGTTGAAAGTAAATGCAGTTTTCTGGTAACTGACAAAGATTGTTTAAGCATCATGCAAGAAATAAAAGTTTACACTTAATTATCAAATTATATTGATTTAAATTTAATATCTCATAAAAATATAGGGGCTGTGAGAAGATTTTGGGGTTTATAAATTGTCTTCTAGAAGCTCTGTTACAATTATTTTTATTTCTTTCCATCTCTTTCAAAAAAATGTCAGTTTGTGGTGTTCTTAAGTATCCTTAACTTAGATAATGTCAATGTCTTGAGGATTTATAAACTGTTGCTTACTATACTAAGTACTGCATTTCATGTCACTAACTGAAAACAGTTAAGCATTTAGAAGGTCAGAAACTATCATTCATTGTCACAGACATGATGTGATCCTGGATATAAAAATGATATATAAAGCTCATTATATTTTACACTTGTGGTTTATATAGCTACATCTATGCAAATAGTTGAAACAAAACTTCATAAAGTTCAGTAATATACATGGCTGCAAAAAGACAGTCATCCATCTGAAGATTCGATTCAATAGAGCTGAAGTCCAAACATCTCCATAAAGGAAATCCTGTAGAGATTTTAGGAAATATGGCTCCATTTAGCACACAAGTTGCATGTTCAGATCTTCAGTATATTTACTGATCTTGCGTATTCTGTAGTCTTTTTAATATTCCTTTTACAACATTCCTGTTCACTTACGCCAAATGTGTAATAAAGGATCATGTATGACTAATAGCAATCACATCAAAGTGAGAACTTTAAGTCTCTTTTTCCTCTCCTGATTGAATAACATCATCCTCAGGAGTTACTGAAGGTAGCCTTTGCATGTAACAGACAACACCTTTAAGACGGGGAGGGAATGACTGAAAATCCTTGAAAGTCGGGCACCTTTTGGCAGTAACTATCATAAAAATAAACTGCTGTTAAGTAGTTCTATTACAGATATAAGTTTAACTGCATATTTCATGCTCAAGGTTTATTCCTGTGCCAAGCTCACAGTAGCTGACCCATGTTGTGTCCTACCCTCAAGTCCCACCAAAGAGGGGAAAGGAACTTTCTAGCTCAGAGTTCTTCCTGAGGAATCCCTTACTGTGCAGAGAGCTAAGAAGTATTAGTTTCTTTGGCCTTAGCAGGATTGGTGTGATTTCACTTCAGCTCCTGCGTAAAACCACTTAGAACCGGTGAGGAAGCACTAACTGCCTCTGCCTGGAAAATATTACTCACCCACTCTGGACATTAATTCAATGCTGTGATTTCAAGCTCTGTCTTTATGCATATTTTAGTCCTTTTATAATTTGTCATTTGAAATAATGTGATGACTGAGCATCCTGGTCCACATTCTGGCCATTCCAGATCTTTCTTACATAGAGATGCAAGACAGACATTGAAGTGGCCAGCTGGATTTACCCAGCCTACAGCTAGGACAGTTAACGAGGCATGGCTCTGCATTGCAAAGAATAACAGTATGGCCTGGCTAAGTGAAAGAACATAGGACTGAGCGAACTATTTTAATAGGAGCCCCATTGACAGCGTTGGGAGAGGGGTAGAAAATTTACCTCCAAAGCATAATAGAAATACGTAAGACTCATTTTCTGTAACATTATTGTTTGCCAATAAATTCACCTCTGTAAACAGTATAGTAAAAGCATGTTTAGTAAGTTAGAAATCATGCTACAAATAAAGCTTGAATTCTTAGAGGATTCATCATCTCCAGTGATTTCCATTTTTAAGAACATAGATTTCTAGAACATGTTGCAATGTGTTATAATTCTATTGTAGTCAAGCCTGAAACAGCAAGATCCAAAGATTTCATATAAAAGCATTCCACGTTCTCAATTGCTTGTAATGGATGTTAAAGGATTTTACTTATTTCAGGGCATCAACGTCTTTCATAAAAGCTGATGTTCATATTCAGAAAAATTTGCTGTTCAAATCAGTGTTGCAAAACTTTAAAACTTGAATGACATAAAAGTAAGCACAGTGCATGAAATAGTCCTTCATGTTTTCCCTCCTGTGTTCATTTCTTTTAGTGCTGGAGTTGGCAGGACTGGCTGTTTCATTGTGATAGATGCCATGTTAGAAAGAATAAAGCATGAAAAGACTGTAGATATTTATGGCCACGTAACTCTAATGAGAGCACAGAGGAATTACATGGTTCAAACTGAGGACCAATACATCTTTATCCATGATGCACTGCTGGAAGCAGTGACATGTGGAAATACCGAAGTGCCAGCAAGAAACCTGTATGCATATATCCAGAAGCTGACACAGATAGAAACAGGCGAGAATGTCACAGGAATGGAACTGGAATTTAAGGTACTGTGATTTTATGTTGCGGGGAACGAAAAACAAATGGTGTAACACAATGTGCTCTGTCCTCCACCAGCTCTTTCCAGTAATCAAAAGATAAGACATCAGCAGGCTAAAATTTAAAATTAGGAAGATTATCCTTTGTGAAATGTACAACTCTATCTTCAGTTGGTGTGCAGGCAAGAAACAATCAGTGAGGGTGGTTTAACCTTGCTGTTCCTTTATTGTTTCAATAGCCCAAAATGTGTGTTTGTGTAACAGTTTAATACTCAAATTTGTCCATATGCATTAATGGGCCAGACATTAATTTTTCTAAGGTGTTAAAAGAAGCTTTACAAATATTTAGGTAATGCAATAGAGTATGGAAAAGCAAGCATCTGAAATTGAAATTATTCATTACTGGACTATGAGCAGAGATCATCAAATCTGCTAGTGTCATTTGTTTTTTTTATACCTGCCCTTAATTCCTTTAATTCATTTTCAACAGCGTCTTGCTAGCTCTAAGGCTCACACTTCAAGATTCATCAGTGCCAATCTTCCATGTAATAAATTCAAAAATCGCCTTGTCAATATTATGCCATATGAGTCTACAAGGGTATGCTTGCAGCCAATCCGAGGAGTAGAAGGCTCTGATTATATTAATGCCAGTTTCATTGATGGATACAGGTACTAATGTTGATGTGTTCTCATGTGGGCTCTTTTAAAAACTTACAAAATTATTTATGTAATTATATTGAAAGTAACAAAATTTAGTATTGAAATTTAGTATTGTATATTATATGTGCGTGCCATGTTTGATTGGGTTGCTTTCAAAATATAGATAACAGGTTTATATTTTCCCCCATACAATACAGTAAAATTGTGTAAAAGACATAGGGCTTTAAATGTTATATTTTACCTACCTTTAAGCAATTGAGAACTCCTGGTATGGGAAAAGCGTCTGAGATTTTAAGCACATTCATGATTTAGAACCTCTATTTCTTCACAACTATTCTGCTTTAAAAAGATACACAGAAGTAACGTACAGGAGATACAGTCTCTGTGTCAAGGTGATAACGTGTGATCTTGGAGCACTGATTAAGATTAGACCTAACCACCGAAAGCATTTTATACATAAGCAGTGGTATAGCCCACCAGCATCTTCATGACAATGCAGAGCAATATGCCCTCAGCTGACTTAAGCAGCTGGTAGAAAAAGGCATGAAGGAGAAGCAGTATAGTTTCCCTAAGGCAATTTCGGTGTACCTGAGTATCTATATCCACCGAGTTAATTTTCTGAGCCTCTGCTCATAATTAGAAACAACCTTCATCGCCACTGTCATACACAAAGGTGTTTCTATTGACTGAAACAAGCAAGAACAACATGAACTGGTCATCACCTTATGAAGCTGCTGATCCAGAAACTTTTAACAGCTTGGTGATAGATTCCACTAGTAGGATATTAAGGTCTGGAAATTCAGTGCACACTATTCCTGCATTTTCTTCCTGTCTTACTTCTGCTGGAGGCATCAGGCTGTTGAAAAGGAGTTAATAAAGAAACTGTTTGATGATATAATTCCTAAACTTAATAGATTGTTAGACAGTTATTTCTACAAAATGAACCAGCACAACTAAGTGTTTCTTAAGTGCTTTTTGCAGCACACAAAATTGAGCTATTAGAGTTGCATTAAAATTTAAATAATAATGATAAAGACATACATCATAATATTAACAGAGTAATTTCCCTCTCAAATTTCTAAAAATAAAATGCCATCATTTGATTAAACAATCATAATAAGGTTTTAATGTGATTATTAATAGTATATAATTTTTTCTTCTAGATAATGTTTACATATAAACAGAGAACATGTATATCAATTCACTTTTTTTATTAAAATATCTTTTTTAATTTACTTTTTTTTTCTAACAAAGACAACAAAAAGCTTACATAGCTACACAGGGTCCTTTAGCAGAAACAACTGAAGACTTCTGGAGAATGCTCTGGGAGCATAATTCTACAATTGTGGTCATGCTCACTAAACTGCGAGAAATGGGCAGAGTAAGTACTGCTGTAATACTCTTTTACTAACATGTTTGTTTTAATGATTTTTTAATAAAATATTTAATTGTTATTGGAATGTCTAAAAATAAAGGTGAGGATTTAGGTTCCTTCTCCTTTTGAAATGTCAGTGGCATTGTTGATCACCAGGTAGACAGTTTTCATGTATTGCAATAAACAAACTAAACATGGCATTTTACTGTGAGATGCACTGAGATTCGCAACTGAGTCTGCATGTTGACATTCCAAAGTATGCAGAGAGAGCATAGCTGTCTACTGAAAAATGAAGATTTCATATGTGGAAACTGTGCTCTTGCAGTGTCTGTTTTTAACAATGTTCAAAGAAAATGTGGTATTTTTGAGATCTGAATGTCTTCTGTGTGTTCATAGCACTGAACTTTAAAGCTTCAGCAGCCAGTTTACAGTTCTGAACTCATTCAAGTGCTGTTTTGTGTAATGGAAAGAACAAAGCAGTTTACTATCTGGACAGGATTACATCAAGATAACGCCGGCATGTGATAAGTGAAATCTGTGTCAAGCCATGTATCTGGAGAATAGAAGTGATTCAGGACATGGCTGGTGGATGCAGAGATAGAGTCCTGACTGAGGCCAGGGGGACTTGCTTCAAAAGGGAAGAAAGAAAACTGAAGGTGGCCTCAAGATTTAAATTCCTTTCTGTATTGGAAATTAGGCTAGGGATAGCTCTTTTCACTGATAAATAATAGAACTGAGCAGAAGCATGAAGGAGTTCAGATGTACAGCAACAAGAGAGAATCCTTTTGCAATGCAATATTGAAAATCATTTTGTATTCTAGTTATGGAACTTCATGTTCACAGCAGGACAAACAGTTCATGTTCCTGTCACTAGTGACACTTTCCATTAGTATTACACTGATCTGAGCGAAAAAGGCTTTATGTCAGTTTATGGTAGTGGTTTTGAGTAACAGGAAATATATGTTGCTTCATTATTTTGTAGGAAAAATGCCACCAGTACTGGCCTGCAGAGCGCTCAGCCAGATACCAGTATTTTGTGGTAGATCCAATGGCAGAGTACAACATGCCACAGTATATTCTGAGGGAATTCAAGGTTACAGATGCAAGGGTAAGTTAACATAGCATTATGCTGCTTCCCATAAGTTAAAAGAAAATGACAATTTCTCTCTTTTCCTGTTGTTTCTTTGGTTTTTTGTTTTGTTTTTTTTTTGTTTTGTTTTGTTTTTTTTTTTTTAATTTTTACTATTATTAGAGAAACTTCAGGGGTGTACTTTCTACAAGCAATAAACAAAAAGCAGATAAAGTTATTACTAAATGAATGGGAACTTTGTGTAAGAAAAATTGACTTCGCTCAGATCTAACAGCTGGGCAGCACAACTTTGTAAAGTTCTAAATTACTTTCTGAATAACTGTTTGTGCTGAAATACACTAGATGACTTGAGGACCATTTTCCCTTTTTGCCTCATTTCTCCCTTGATCATTTATGGGGGCAATTTTTGTCATTTACAGCTGAAAATATGTTGGTTTGCACCACCTGGTAGGCTGAGTGAGTATGAAGGTTAATACACTGAAATTTAAAAACTGCAAAGCATATAGCATTCATAAGAAAAACTTGACAAGCTTGCACATTATAATTTGATTTTTGGCATAGCATATTTTCAGCACTCTTGTGTATCTGCGAAGTACATACATGCAGCTGTGACCTTAGCATCCTCATTTTCGTACTGCATTTCTTATGTGAATTCCTGAGTACAAAACTGGGCACTGATATAAGATTAAATGTACATAAATTCTACATATATCTTTGGCATTTCTCAGTCTTTTGATTTCTAGCATTTTAGTTTGCATGGCAGGAAGAATTACTGACAGTCTCCATTTCTGTAAGTGATGTAGAATACTATTTGTTTAAGCAAAACAGTAGTATGAACTGTCCAGGAATAACATGAGTGATTACTCAGAGTTGCCAGTCAGCATCCAAAACATTAGACTTTCTCATAGTTAGCTAGACTGCTGCTTTTAATGTTAATTTCAGGTAAAATTAGGTACTACTGGCAATTAGCTAGACAGCATTGTCACTAACCAAGTCAGCACATGAACGTTTTAATTTGTTAAGTGAGACTTAGGAGTGTGTGTTTTTGAAAACAAACTGTAGACACACTGGATCTGATTTTCATTCTATTTGAAATGTAGTAAGGATCACATGACTCATAGCTTCTCTAACCTATTTGTGCTTAACAAAAGTGGAGAAGAACAAGCTCCGAACATCAGTCTTTAACCACACTTAAGCATAGACAATCAAAGCCGATTTCACTACCACTGTGCTGATAGTTTTCATAATATGTACCATCTCAAGCTGGAGGAGGTCTTATGTGACGTAGTTCACCAAGCTCAGATAACAGAATAACAATGATAACAAAAAGCCACTGACGTAGTTGAAGTGAGGCATCTGCAAACAGTATATATTTCCAAAAACTTCTTTCAAGAGTTTATAAAGAATTAGGATATTTATGAAATTCTATTTACTTATAGCTAGCAAACCAGTAAAATGTCTAAAAGGGTCGAATAACTTAATTTGCCAGAAATAGTTTTATTTGACCTGATATTAATACACCTCTTTTAAAAAGTTTCAAGCACACATGCACCTTGGCTGTCTTGTTGTGACATTTTACCACCACGTATCATAGCTCCTCAAATTTTTATCAAGTCTCTTTGCCTTGATAGTGCAAGCTTTGTTAAACAGCGAACTATCTGAAATTTTCTAGATGTGCCGGGAAACTATAGCTCCTTCCAAATTTACTGGAAGTGGTGGGGACTACTTACCAAAATGTACATTATGGTTTTCATGTAGTTAGGCTTTTATGGCTGTCATACCCAGTAGTTGAGACCATCTAAATAAATTGTTGTATTCAAAGGAGAGTAAATGCTGCAGCAGTTGTAATCAGCCTCTCTTCCACTTATCTCCACATCCATCTGTAATGTTAGAAAACCATCCATGCTCTGGCAGAACCAAGCCAGACAATTATTCCCCAGGGACAAGAAAAGAAGCACGTTGCCTTTGTAGGTATCAGCAACAAGTGTCAGGTGTGGAACTCCCTGTTATTTCTGAAACTGATCTGTGAGTTGTTGTAAGGTGAAATTGAGCTCTGTAACTGTTTCAGTCTACTGCTTCTGACTGCTTTATACTCACTTTCTCTGTAAACTCCAGAGGTCAATGTGTTGGGGCAGTCTCATTTAAGGCTAAACTATTAGAGATGGCTATTAGAGAGTATTATAAATTCTACAGCCTCATCAAAAGACAGTTGAATATCCCCAGCGAAGAGCAAGAAGAAATACAAATGGTCAGCCAATCAGTGAGATGATACATTAAAAGTCCTCTGCTCCATGTAGGGATCTGAAAGTTCGTATTTTGATAACTAGCTGTGCAAACTGTCACAATATTTGAAAGTAAAGATTTTAATAAAATTTGGCATTTGAATTTGGACTGCTATTGGCAAACATCTCATTAAATAAATCAGCACTGTTTCTAATGTCAGAAGCAGAGGGAACTGTGTAAGAAATTGCAGATTAATTTGCAATATGCTTTAATGCTAGTCTAACATCAGACTAACTTTGCTTCTGTACTCATCAAATAGCATTAGCTAACACAATTTATTGCCATTAAAACGTAAATCAGAACAGTTTTCACAAACTGGCACTGGATTATTGAGTTATTATGATCACGAAATATACCAATACAGTTGATTTAGACACATGTGGAAAACATATTTGCTGTCAAATCATTTTTTCACATAGAAATTTATGTTTTTTCCAGTGACAGCTTAGACTTAAGAAAAGGAAAGTTTTTCTTGTTTTCTACCCCTAAAAAGTTACTGTTATTCTAGCGTAATTCCTATCAGGGTCAGAAATTGCTGACGAGCTTCCTTCTCTTTAACAAACATGTTGCAACGGAGTCAGACTTAGGGTTTTCCTTCTTTACTTTAGAAGAATGGAAGGTTATTTTGGAGTGAATCAACCTATAGTTTTGTCTTGGTTAATTAATGTAATGTGCCACAAGCTGTATAAAGGATGCAATTCCATTATGTCTTCTTGGGGGAAAATAGGATCATAGAAACAATTATGAGAGAAGTCTGCATTAATAAAATGCCATTTTGGTAGGAAATACTTATTTTTTGTGTTGATGCTGACAAGAAATAAAATTGGGAAAAATGTTTTTGATCAAGTTTTATTTTTTTTAACTGGGCAAAAATATTCCAGAGAAAAGACTACTAGATTGTCACAGTGGTCTAGTGGGAATACAAGAGATAAAATCAAAGAAGTGTATGTGTGTCCTCTCATGAAGTAGTGGCTGGCACACACACCTATTTCCTGTTTTCCTTACACACCTGTGACGAGGCAAAACCCCACAGTACCAAAGAAAACATAAAAGCAAAATACTGATTTTTCCTTTAGTTATGTTTAAAATCACTTCTATTTCATTTCAAAGGTCTGCAATAGCTGAGTGCTTGTGGTAGAAGAAAAAAAATTTTTTTTTTTTCTTCCCTCCAGCATAACTTGTTCCTTTTTAGGGGGATCTCCTATAATCATTTCAATTTTTCATGAGTTTCACTTAGTAGAACACCATTTTGAAGACATGGAAAGGTGGATACTTAGGAAACAACATGTCCAGAGGCACTACTTCACATCAGTAGCTCATGTGCCTATGGTTTTATGCCCATGCTTTTAAATATTTCAACTGTGCAGATTAACAGTGTCAAAATTATCAAGAAGAATGTTTGAAAATTCATAACAAATTTACCTCCTCCATTTGTATTGTATTTTTTCTATTTATGTGTCCTGACCATTTACACATCAAATAGGCATACAGCAGAAGTTGGTGTTTAATACTTCCAGTGGCTTCATTATAAAAATAAACCTGCTGTAGTATTCGGCAGTTTTAAACAATCCTCTTAGTATGCCTAACCAGAGGGAGGCTTCAGCTGTCTTGTTTTGAAAGAGGAAGCCCTTCTTTTTGATTTTTGACTGAGTTAAAGATGATAGGGAATGAAATTATGATTGAAAGGAAATTTCTGGTTTGTTAAACAACTGGCTTGTCTTGACCCATCTTCTTCCAAGCAAATCTCCACTTCATAGAAAACACCATACTATTAAAGGGCAATGACTAAATGAGTCGTATCAGTGGAGATATTCCTGCCATGCAGTAGATGAGCCTATCTAGGAAATGGAGAGTCAGATTGGATGGTTTTATTGTACCTGTTTTGTATTTAAAGGAATTTGAAGTCCACAGGATTAAAAACATAACTTACAAAAAAAAAAAAAATCATATAACCTTGTGAGATTGTTATGTCTTTAGACTTAGGTATGCTTTTTACACAGGCAGAACATCAGACAACTCTCCTATCCAGTGCAGAAGCCAATCTATGCAATGTTGTTAATGAAACTTCACTTCTGAGTCAATGTGTCCAAAAGCACCAGGCAGTAATGCAATTGAAAGAGTCCTCATAAACATGATCTTAGCTGTTCCCTGCAGCCTCTCAGTGTCCTCGTTTTGTGATTGTCTTTCTGGTTATTGGCTGACTGACTTCCATCTTCTAGAACATGCTTTTGGGATACATCATTTGTCTCTTTTGTTAAAGGATGGTCAGTCCCGAACAGTGAGGCAGTTCCAGTTCACTGACTGGCCAGAACAAGGAGTGCCAAAGTCTGGAGAAGGATTTATTGACTTCATAGGCCAAGTGCATAAAACAAAAGAGCAGTTTGGACAGGATGGACCAATTTCTGTTCATTGCAGGTAAGTAAACAGAGCCTCAAAAAACTTCATATACAGATTAATTTTTTTCTAAAGTTAATTGCTAATTGTAGCAAAGGTAGGTGGACTATCAGGAAATGTAATCAAGTAGAAGATCTGAAAAGGGACACATAAGACTGTTTTACAAACCAGGAACTGTTCTGTGATATCCCATTTACACAGAAAAGGTTCTTCTGAAATATGTGGAAGAACATGATTTTCTCTTCACTTAAAATATCTCTAATGCAGGGTAAAAACAATCTGGTCAATGCTGCACACAGAAAGCAGTAGGAAGAGCCTTATCACAGCATGCTATATCTGTTTTGTTTTTTTTTTTTTTCCACTGGTAATTAAAAGTGAGTCATTGGTAGGAATTATTTGCTGTAAACAAGCTAGTTACACCTCAGTAGCACATTAGTAAGAATCAAGTTGAGCCAAATCAAAAATGATGACTTTCTCAAGAAAGGGAGTGGAATAGGAAGTGGTGTTTAGAAACTTTGCCTGTCAAAAAATCATTGAGGTTTGGATTGGTGAGTTTCAACTTCAGAACGTAATGCTCATTTTTTGATGTGAGGACTTCCCTTAATTCCTTTACAATTGATATGCAGATACAAAGCTTTCAGGGTGGATAGGAATATACCAGTGTGGGTTTTTTTAATATTTTTGTATTTTTTACTTATTTTCTCTACAATATTGTAGAGTCTATAGCAGATGCCCAAAAGTAGCATCTTTATCTATTATATCTTCTTTAATAAATTGATTTCTGTAAATTCCATTACTATTCTAGACATTCATTTTTGCAACATTAAATTATTTTTTGGTAGTTGAAATGTTATTTATATAACAGAAGTGCAAATATCTAATACAGGTTCCAAGTCTTTGCTTCACTAGCATGAAGACAAAATGAACAAGTTTACTAGAGCATATGAATGTACAGAGGGAAAGAGGATCTTGTCCTTCCAAAGCCAGGAGCAACTAGCAGTTGTTAAAAAAAACAAACAAACAAAAAAAAACCACACTGTGTTTTAGCAGAGCTCCTTATGCTCCCCTAATCTGAAAGACTGACAAAAAAAATGTATTGGACTACTTGAATCCTACTTTTTTTGTGTATCTAAAATTTTTATGACCTCGTAAAGAGAACAGCATTGCAGAGCAGTGTTTGAGATTCATTTGGCAAGGGAAAATGAAGGATATCTGTGATAAGAACAAGCCTTATTCTTCCTGAAATTGATGAGTTTTGAGAGAGGATGAGTAATAAGCAGTATTTGTGCCTTTATGCGGGCATATGTATGAAAGCAAAGTGATGGTATTCTTCTAAGTTCTTTGTATTATGCAAACTTGTCCACTTGTGACTGCAGTGAAATACTGCTTGAAGTAGGTTATGCATCCCTTCCAAATGGGTGTGATCTGTCATGATGAAATTATGGAGATTTCTATCATTGACTTAGGTAGAAACAAAGTCAAATCCAGTATAATTAATCATTTTTTGGTCTTTAAATATCTTATTGTAATGACAATTTAGAGGTTGCTAATGTTAATCATCATCATCAGTGTTAGTCAGCTTACAGGAATAGGAAATGTCTGGAGCAAATTAGTAGGTTTATTTATTTGTTTCTTTCAGGAAGCACAAGATCCTGGGTACCTCCACTTGCATGGTCTTTGTGGAATTATTGTAATACGATGAGTTTTTAAGAATTTCCCTTGTACAGAGAAATTCTTCAAATGACAAACTCCCCTACTGCTACTTCCCTTTGATTTCCTTCCCACTCTACACATTTTTCATAAGTTTGCTTTCTCTATTATACGGTAAACCCCTGCCACACACGATTGTACTATGTTCTCCTCTGGCATTTTTACAAGTAGATCACTGTATTACAATTTAAAAATTTCTAACCTTATCGGGCAGTTAATTAAAAAATAGTTGAAAGAACAAAGGACTGTTCACCTTGAAGCAAAATTTTCACTTCAACCCATTTTAGCTATTTATAGTCATGTTATTTCAAATTTTAGCTGGAGAGCAAGGAAGACTACCCTTTCCCAGAATACATTCACGATGTATTTTTAACAATAAACTCTTCTCTTTTACAAAAACATCAATACTTCCTCATGGCTTATTAAAGCATTTTAACTTTGATTTCTAACTGTTTAAACTTTGGTGAATCATACACGTCATGAAGTGGTGCCTTCATTATTTACTAAATTCAGGATTCTTTAAAACCTGTATCACACTGCTTTGTTAAATGTTGTGGTAGAATGCAGTTTGGTCTTTGGCTGTCACTGAAAGAAATCAGCTGATCATTAAAATGCTACTAGTACTGATGTGGACTTCAATTACTCTTTAGAAATCCTAAGCATCTTCTAACAGGAATTAGTTAAAATATGTTTGTCACTTTCAGGGGAACAGAGTCAGTTTCCTACAGACTTTACCAAAAATATTACACTGGATGGCTAGTTAGGATTTGCAAGCGTTTAGATCTTTACGTATTAGTCTGTCTTCCTCACTAAGTAGCTTCTCAGGATACTTTTTCATTTCTTAAGAACACAAGACAATAAATTAATTCCCTCTTATTGCTGAATTAAAAGAGTTCTGATAATTTTTTTTTACAGTAATAAAGATTTGACTAATGTGTGAGGCTAGAAATCCTCACACTTATTTAGGAAATCTTACTTCTTTTGTTGATTATGTTTAAATGGTTGACCAGAACGAGGATCAAGGAGAATGGAAAATGGTAATCTTCCTTTACTCTGCTGGTCATTTTCTGGGCTACTTTGTTTAGATCACAGTCATCAGCTTTGTAAAGTCCAAGCAGGTTCCAACAGTAATTTTCCAGGATTTTTTCAGCATATTTGTTAAACATTAGCGTTCTAGTATAATTCATGAGGGAATGGAGACCTTACACTCCTGTTGCTCTAGATGTCCAGGGGTATTGTCATCACATATAGATAAACTGAAAGCTCTCCAAAAGCATACAGGTTATGCAAAATTGCTATATCCAATCACATGTATTCAATATCCCTGGAAGTGCTCTGATCTAGACCAAACACCAAAATACCATCATACAATTTGGACATTTGATTTCTACACTAGGATGTAATGCTCGCAAATTCACTGGATCTCTGTCATAGTCCATATCAACATTCAGGGTTCTTCAGCCTTTCCCTGCTGTTCATGTTCTTCCACTCTCCTGTCTGTGAATAGGTACCAAGTTATCTGACTGGAGAAAACCTTGTGAAATTAACATCAACAGTGAGATGATGGGGTGCTTAATTTCCACCTATACATGTTCAGACTGAGAAAATCTTTTTTTTCTGTGTAGTTACCTGTATTTTTGTCCAAGAGTCATCCTCCTGAATAAGCAATTTTTAAATTTCACTAATTAACAACTATTGGCTCTATTGATTACAGGAATTTCTAGCACTTCTTGGGGGTTTTGCTAGTAACAGAAACCCAGGACAGAACAGAAAGCAAACAAGTCATATATTCAAAGACATTTCAGACTAATGTAGACAGACATGGCGTATGTCTATCAGTATTGGAAAGATAGAGATCCAGACTGCCATACTCGAATAAAAGCTGTGTCTTAAGGTTTTGTTGTATCCATTACTTAAATTGTAGTGAGTATGAACAATTTCGGTATGAATTGAAAATCCACCATCTCTAACTCAGAGTAGAAGGTAAACTAACACAGTGAAGATGTGCTAAACAGGGCATATACATGAACGAGCTGAAGTATAGCAAGCAGTAAAATACATTTTGCCATCTTTTTCTTTTGTCACTTCCAGTGTAGGTCATTGGCAGCAAATGTTCTCATTTGCCTCCACTGTGCACTGATTACTGTATATCTAGCTGAACAAACCGAGTTACTTTGCAATGAAGACTGGAGACTCAGGAAGTACTTGGTAGCATGTGAAGTTTTCTTGAATGCAATTATTCTTCTGAAAGCAAAGTGGTATTTTGCAGTGGAATTTTGCTTAGTGAGCCTTTCCCCATATAGAAATCTGTACACGTATGGTGTGTTACTATAGATAATTTGTCAGCCAATTCTTTCAGCATTAATTGTCAATTATCATTCCTTTTTTCCTTTTTTTTTTTTTTTTTTCTTTTATTGCAACAGTGCGGGTGTTGGAAGGACTGGAGTATTCATAACCCTGAGCATTGTGTTAGAAAGAATGAGATATGAAGGCGTTGTAGATATCTTCCAGACTGTCAAAATGTTAAGAACACAGCGGCCAGCCATGGTACAGACAGAGGTGAGCAAAACAGTATCAATATACAATGGTGATGGAAAGAAAGGGGTATTTTCACAGCCAAAAAATACACAGATAGAAGCTGTATAAAATGTGCTTACATTTATATCTGAAGTCATATAGTGACTATATGACTACAGTGTAAAATCTGCCATAAAGGTACTGCAAGGACTATTTCCTGTTACAGCAGTAGATACTACAGGCTAGGAAAGAAAAAAAATCATTTCAGCAGTGGATCCTAAATTATGGTAGTTGAGGAAAACCATTTTCCAAGAATCGTTAGCCATTTTTATTTGAACTTTTGTTTCCTGGCAGAAATGTGTGGTAATAAAGGAGGTAAATTGTTTCTGCAGGTGGGTCCACTGATATTTTTGTTTCAGGAGCAGAGTGTTGTTCATGGCTTCAGACTGACACTGTATTATTTTCATGGTTTTCTTGACTTTGTGTCACCAAGCAAGTGGCTGTTTGGCCTGAAAATCATAATGGTAAATTCAAACTTCAGGAAGACTACAGTGTAAGTAATTTCAGTGCTAGCTAGAGTGCCATAGAGAAATAAGGAAAGGGATAAGCAGTATCAGCTGATTGCCTGGGCCTGGATGCTTGGAGCTGTGTCATGTAATAAAGAATACTTAAACATTTTCACTTACTTTTAATTTCTACGTAAATTTCTGAACAGGAGAGTTGAACTAAGCCAGAACCAATAGATTATGAGAACCAAGCAAAAGGACAAGAGAAGGGAAACATTTTAGTGGTACATTTATTTAGTATAATTTGATTGACACTGGCCCTTAAATTACAGTCTGTGAAAATTAAAAAGGTTCCTCAGAGTTTCCATTTTAAATTTAAAATTAAACTGGGTAGAAAAAGTCTGGGTAGTCTTATTTTTAAGAAGACAACTTCATAAAAACTTATATGAAAAATAAATATACTTATTTTTAACCTTGTCAGCTAGCCAAGTAAACCACTGTGACCAAACTCAAGAGTTAATTCCATTTCTTTTCCATTACCATCATTCTTCTGGATAAGCAAAATGAAAAATGACCGCTTTCTGTCATTTTTGTTCCAAGAAATAACTACAGAATACAGAAAAACTATACTTCTTGTAGCCTGCCTGACAAATGCAGAGTTCTCCCTCCTCATACTTTGACTTATTTCTGTGAGCTATCCTCCATGATGAAAGTAGAAGTGCTGTGTACTCATTTCTTTCAGGGTTCTGTGGAAAACAAATCTCTCATTCTGTAACTGCCAGGAAATCGAATCCTTATTCAACAAAGCACTTGAACTCTACATGGACCACACATACACTTAAAATTTACACATATGTTTAATACGTTCTCCTAGTGTTGTAAAAGGAAGCTGAAAAGAAGTATTAGTGATCACACCACTGTATTGAAGCAAACATCTGATGTTTCATTGTCTACAAAAGAATTTTAATTGTAATCTTAACAAGTATAACTCATGTGGGGTTACCACGTAGCACTATCAGATAAATAAGCAGGCCTTGTTATTTTGGACAGCTTTCAGAAGCAATTTCTTTTCACTTTTTTTCTTTTTAACATTTAAACCCTGAGTGGCAGTTGCAAATGAGGACACAGACATGCTGTTTTAGCGTAAGTGTGCAACACTACATAAATGTGCAAAAGGACTGCTGTGAGTAGGTAAGAATAGCATGAAATGCCAAATGTTGGATTCACCGGAAGTATAATCAAATCTTTCACCACACTGAACTTTTCTCTGCTTCCAGGTGTAGGCTGAAATACAATATGTTTCAAGTTAATAAGGTGCTTTAGCTGCATATTTCTCTCTTAGGCCCTTTTCTTGCCACAGGCTAAGATATCTTCATATCTTCATCAAAGCCTACATTACTGAAAGGTTGGGATTCCCTTTGCTTACTGAACATGATTTTTAACCTGGTGGTTTTCCATACAGCATTCCACATTAAGGCTGTGATGGATTTTGTCGTCGCATGTTGTATTTGCTATGGAGTTAATTGGATATTTTGCTACTTATTTTCAAGTATATGTGGAAAAAAAGCATCTTATCATGCTCCCATAAGAAGAAAGCTTTGTGCTGATGTTATGTTAATCCAGAGTAACAAACGGTCAGTAGCTGGGTATATAGTCTCTGCACAAAAAGAAGCTGCATCCAGTGGAAAATGTTACTACATTAAATGCGTGTATATCTTCATCTGCTGTAACTTGGACTGGTTTTCTGTTGATATCAGCAAGAGAATATTGCTGAACTGCAGATGCCTCTGTGGTATATTTATCTATAGCCACAAAGTATTCACTCTTAGTTGAAAGAAAATAGAAACCAACAAACAAGCTGGCTTTTTGATGCTTTTATTTTCTATCTTTCTTTCTCCAGGATCAATATCAGTTCTGCTATCGAGCCGCACTGGAATATCTGGGCAGCTTTGATCACTATGCAACATAAAAACCCATCGTGGATTTTTATTGCAGGCCCTTTAAGATCCAGAGAGCCGCTTCTGAGCCATATGATGTGCTTTGGAAGTACTTCTTAACTCTTAGCTAAGGAGCAATTATTGGGGATATATAAAATAAAAAAAAAAAAAAAAAAAAAAAACAAACAAAAATAATGGGGATATATAAAAAAAAACAAAACAAAACAAAAAAAAACAACAAAAAACCCTATTCCATGTGGACCAAGAATTCTCAGTTTAATTACCTAACCATATATAAAAGAATCCTGACCACTGAGGCGTCTGAAGGATCTCATTTACAGATACCTCAAGGGTTCGACATTGGTTGAAGTTAAAGGGAAGAGGAAATTAATCAGAAAGAATGATCATCTTGTTCAGGATTGCATGCTTTTGCAAAGAGGAATTTTGAGAGAACTGCAGTTCAGTGCAAGATGTTTGTTAAAAGATTGGGTCCTGGCTTCTCAAACAAAGTGGACTCTTTACTTCAACATCACCCCTTCCAATCATACTGCTCATCGTAACACTTTAGGGAAAATGTGGGAATGTTTAAAAAGAAAGTCCTTGATTTAGTTTTTTAGTATTGTAAAGATACTGCTGACCTGTGCTTCATTTTTAACTGTGTAAACTTTTTCCTTTTTTTAACAAGAGTTTATCATTCAATGAAGTGAATTAAAGAAAAGGTTGCATAACTGTTAATCTTTTTGTTTAAAACTGTAGATTTTTTTAAGCTCTAGAATTGTTATCTGTAATATCGTGCTGTAGAAATGTTAAATAATTTGAAAATTTGCACATTTTTGTGCAATCCTATATTTATCTACAGTACCACAGTCTTGTTAGATCTTACTGTTACAGTTTTGTTTGGTTTATTTTTCTTTAAGAAGATATTCATTGTAATCAGTTAAATCAAAATGGGGCTTTTTGGTTTCTTTTGGAATCAACAGGGAGGCGCAAAGTATAAAGATGCTGCTAACACACACACACACATGCACACATATGCACATGCACACCCACACCCTCTCTCTTTCTATATATATGAGTATACATATGTATTACTGTCTACCCTTCTCTAACTCTCTTCATAGTTACAGAGGTACAGATAGGTAGATAGTCACACACTTACATATAAACATATAAATTCTTCCATACCTGGATTTATTAAAGCATTCGGAAAGTTTTTCAGTATACTACAATTATATTAAGCTACTACTTGATCATCTCTGCATTTCCAAGGTCCATAAGCTTCTGTTTCAAAGGGAAGTGAGGAATGCACATCATTGATATTTGATCTTCATCTGTATCCCAGATAATACTTCTCTCCACATTGCCACTTGAACACACACACATGCACACACACACATGCACACACGCACACAGAGTATGTGATTTAGGCTTCCAGTGAAGTTCAATATTTGTAACACTATAGTGCAATAAGAAATCATATTATTAAATGTAGGAGGTGTGCATGTGGGAAAGGTCAGTGCATATCCCTTCAGGAGGGGAGAATGTTGTAATATACTAGGTATTAAGATGTTTTAAAATTGTATTCAATAGTATACTGTCTATAGTGTTAGCTATATAATTTACATTTATCATATGTAACAGGGCAAAGCCAAACACACGTTGCTCTGTGAAATCAAACGTTTTGTGGCATACAGCATTGTTTGGGGATGCTGGGTTTTATTTTGATTTTACATTTAGAGTGCCTTATATTTGATGCCTATTTTGAATAGCATTTCTTTAAGTTAGCCTTCATTTGTATTTAGTTGAGCTTGTTCATATCTCTGTTATTCTTCTCAAACATTTTAATACATGTATCAGACAATTTTGAAAAATATGCATTTCCAGTTTCTAATCAAGTATGGATGGTAATAAATGATAACCCAAAACACATAGGTAATCAAGGCCCTTTATCTTTCCATATTTCTAATAACAGACCAGCCCACAACTTAAAAATCTATTTCTTGTTGGCTTTTCAAACCCACTGTGTCATTGGTTATAGTGTTATCACTGCATATATGTACACTAGCAGTAGTTGACATTAGTAGTGCTCACGCATCTTTTTACTTTATTTTATTTTGGGCCAAGTCCGGTTCATTCACTTCTGTCAATAGATTGCTAAAGTCTGTTGCTTTCAGCAGAACGGTTCATGTAAGGCTAGCAAGACAGAGTCCACAAAATGTATTTGAGAATCACACTAGATTTTCTTCCAGGGAACAAAGAAAATTCTGTAAACAGCACAAATTACTTTTTAAGACTCTTGATAGGATGCCATTTACTTTGATCCTGGTTTCCATCATGCCTTCCATCACTGTCAGCACATGAGTATCAAAGGAATTCTTTCTTTGGGGTTTCTTAAGACCATTGGTATGGCTTGTCAGTGTGACCTCAACCTCTTTTCTTCTTCTTCCACTTCTCCCACTACTAGCAGAAAGAAAAATATGAAAGACCAAACTCTAGCAAGCATTGTGTTTGAGCACTATTGTAAAGAAAGAAAAAAAAAATCAAAACAAAAATATAAATATATATATGTTATAGAAGAATTATAGAAGGCTACCTCAGAGTGAGATTCTATAACTTACATCTGAACCAGAGAAGAATGTGCACTATGTTTCTTTTGCTTCTTTCTTAATTTGTATATTAATATAATTATTGAAATGCTAGTTTATGTGGTGTGGTCATGTTCAAATGTAGTCAGCTGTGGTCAACTGAAATGTAGGGGCTCAGAAAAACACAATAATCAAAAAAGCATCATTTTGGAAGCACAGACTAGGGAAGATTCTTGCACACTGGATCTGTAAAAGGATCAGAACGTTCTGCCTAGCAGACTGTCTTGAAAGCTCCAAAGAAAATGAGGGAATTAAAAAAAAAAAAAAAAAAAAAAAAAGCAGAGCCAATTTGTGAGGAAAACTGTTGTACAACTAAATATTCCTCTTAGTTTTTATGTTTCTTAAGATAACTGTTTGCATCATTGATGTGCATTCCACTTTCTGTATTCTTACATATAGTCACTCTACAGTTAATTTAAGTTGTGAGCATCATCTTTGTCTACATATATCATACATTTCCAAGCTTAAGTTGGTCTCATCAGCATAACCAGTACGGTGCTATTATTTACCTTTATATGTATAGTTATGTCTAATTTTGTAATTAGTTGCAATGGGGGAAAAAAAACACAAAATATATAAAAAAGATTTATACAGAAGTTTAATTTAGCTCTTTTTTTTAAAATTGAGTGGTTAGATAGTGGAGAGGATGGCTGAGGGAAGGCATGGCCCTCTAGGGAGATTTGCACTTTCTATATATACCTTTGTACTATGCACTGCCCTATTGATTCTACACCCAATAATGTTATAACTTGAACCCGTCTGTAAGAAACTGCTTATAAAATCCACTTGTGTGTATTTAAATGACACAGAACATGTAAAAAGGAAAAAAAAAGTTGCTTTTTTTCCTTTTATTCTCTCCTAATATTCTTTATTTTTCTTTTTTCTTATTTTCTTTTCCTTTTTTTTTTTTTGTTTTTTTGTTTTTTTTGTTTTTTTATTTTTTGTGCCCTGATACTCCACAGATATCAGAAGGCTGCAGGTCTCATCATAACCATCCATTATGTGGCTTTGCCATTCAAGCTTGGAGTGTCTTTACAAAGATAATAAAAAATTGTGTTCTTTGCTCTTGTTTTGGATGCATAGACTGAAAAATTTAAAAAATTACCTTGTAAAATGGCTTGTTAAAACAGATAAAATTACCTCTAATTAGTAGTACGCGTAAATGTTTTACAGAATGAAAGGCGTGCTTTTTATTTTCTTACTTCGTTACATTGGTGGCGAAAGAAAGTCTGTATGAAAATCAGTTCTTTGCTGACACAAGTTCCATTTGTTACAAATGAATTCTAATAAAATGTCAGTGTTATGCAGCCCTGGTCTTTCTTCTTAAGCAGTACTTTTGAAATCAAACTTGTTTGGTCCCTCTTGGTGATAAAGGAGTTTAATTGGAACTACAAAGCAGTCATTAATCTTCTTAACTAGCAGCTGGACAGTGGAAAATGCATTCTTAGGTTAGCAAATATATATCATCTTCAGCATCAAATTCTGAGCCAGCATAGGCAAACTGTTTGGCATAAATTCTCATAGCTTCGTGAATTTAATTGAAATTATTGCACTTTACATGCCTCAAGAGTTCCCCTTTGTGCTTTAGAAATGTATCATTACACTGAGAAAATAGACTTCTGTCCATTTGTAGGTGAAACCCGAAGAGGGCAAAATATTCACATATTTGGGGCAAAGTATTAATTTTTCAGTCCAGATTTGGCAAGTTCTGGAATAAATCCAAAGTCACTTATCAGAATTCAGTTACTGAAATTGTGGCAAGCAATCATGACATTTTTTCCTCATTTCTGCTATGCAATGCATGTGCAGCAAGTGCAAACATGGGGCTGTGAAGCTGCTACCCAAATACTATGCAAGTGTTTTCAAACACTTCAAAAAAGTTTTAGATGAACATGCCAAGTTTATTGAGGCAAGCTACAAGGGGCATAGCATGCCAATCTAGTCAAGGCAAATGTAAGAGTCTTGCTGTTTGCCTGTTTTGAAAAAGAGCAGGCTGTCTCTCCAAGATTGCTGTCTTAGTAAGGGAGCAGTCTATTAATGATTAGTAATAATTACATTAATAAAGAATTCTCAGTGCTGGAAGGATGTGCAAATACATCAACGTTAGACTGACTTCTAAGAACTCGTGGCATTCTTAGCCCAATTTCCACATTAAAATTGTGATGATAGCATAAATGTGAAACCTCTGTATTCTTACAGTCTTACTAACATTTTTCCACTGACTTCTGTGGATTTTACAATCACTGCTTTGCAGGCTGCCTTTGGCTTGAACCTTTTTTGCGTAGTCTGTGCAAGGTGGTTTTAAGCTGTGTTATGTAAGGGTTTCTTTAACTATCTGAGTGGCTTTAGATGGTGCCCTTTGATGTCAGCATTGACTTCTTTGGATTTTCCTGTTCTGTGCATCTAGCATGGGCCAAAATAAAGTGTGAAAATGAATATTGACAAAAAGATTTGGCTATGTATGGGTTAATACATTTTAACTTACTGTGTTCTAACAAGACTAGTTCTAATTCATGTTTCCTTCACAGAAAAAAAATATTCTTATGTCATGTACTTTGAGATCACTAAAGTTAAAAACTGCTGTTGAGATGTGAAATTAACCCATTTCAAAGCAAATCAGAATAACATTTTCATCTTTTCAATTTTATACAAACACTTGGACCAGATTTCCAGATTCCCAGAATCTTTGATGTTCTTTCACTCTGGTATCTCTCAAAATGAGGCAGTTGGTCTGTCTGATTCTAGAGCAAGAGAGGATTTCTATCTGTGGCTTGTATTTCTTTTCCCACTGCCCACTTCTCCCAGTCTGTGTGAGCTTAGGACAAAAGTGAGCCACTGATAAGGGTCTAAAAAAAGTACTGAAAAAGTACTGATAAGGAGTATATAGGAAGAACCTGCTCACTAACCAGAGTGTTCAGAACAGGTCAGTACCCCACAGATCAGTACCCAGTGAAACATAAGTAGCCATCACTGGTCAAAAAAGGAATAGAAAAATGTTTACAGAAATTGGAGAGTCCTTTATGCTTCAGATATGACCATGACCTTTTTCTTTTTTTCCCTCTTAACCAGCTTTATAAGCAGAATGAGTTTTAATTACATTTCACAGACTTGGGAATTTTGAGGAAAATAACTAGAAAATTGCTGATGAATAAGCCAACTTATCAGTGACAAACGACTTCCATAAAACTTATCATGAAAAAAAATACCTATCTTGCCTGTAGAGTTGCTGAATTCTATGAAATAGCCTTGCATTTTGACACCTAATTTAACAACTTCAGACAATGAAATTTCAACAACAGTACTGGATCAAATTGGCAAAAATACAGAAGGTACCAAATTATATCAATATTACTTGCACTGTGGAAGAATATATTTAAATCAGTTTCAGAAGTGTGAAATAGTGGTACTTTTTTCATTCTGTCACTGTGCATGGGGCATTGAAACACTGGTGGGGTATGAGGCTACATACCCGTAGCAAATTTTTATTTTAAGACCTGTGGCAAATATATTTTTATTATTATTTTATTTGAATTTTTAAATTATTTTGTTTTCACTTTGTTTTGCTTGATTTTATTTTATTTATTTTTATTTTGTTCTATTTTTATTTTATTTTTTATTTTGTTTTAAGGAGGGATTATTAATGCTGTGCTACTGACGGCTACTATTTGGAAAGTTATTTAATTCAAAAACTGAAGGATCTGAATAATGGTGTACTGATATTCAGGAGACAGTATTTTCTCTTTACACTGTCCTGTGTGTTTTAAATAATCTGGTTCTGTCCAATTCTGCTTGTGAAGGATACCATAGTAGGATACAGAATATTTTTCTGTAGATAATGCAGTGAGTCAAGATGGGAGGAAACATCTGCCAGCTAGCTTTCAGAGGAAAGCAGAATGATAACCTGCAAATGAGAGATTGTAGTGAATAGAGAACATTTTGCATCTAGACTATACATAGGATGCTTTTGAACCCAAAATGCATTCAGCTTGCTTCTATCAGGAGTAGTCTTTATTATTGTAGCAAGAACAAGCAAACCTTTCTTTGCCAATAAAAGCAGTTCATTATATATTCAATAGACTTACTGGATCTAGAATGTAAATCTTTAAAGTCAAAACTGCTTGGAGATGCCTTTCCTTCTCTCATACATAGAAACGAGAACAGAATTTAAGATTTTCTTCAGTGGAAGAAATAATTTGAAAATACATGAGAATTACTATACTTCTTGTCTTCAAAAATTCAGTTTGCTCTTGAAATCTGGTAGGGTCTAAAGGAGTAAGCCCAGTGTTCTGTTGTGGTAGACACTGCAAACACACAGCAAGTTCTTGTCCATACGGCAAAATAAACAAAACATCATCTAGAGGCTGTAGGTGGCATTTCCAAGTTCATGAGTCAAATCGTGTCTTCTCTGACTCTGAAGCCAAACCAAGAAGCTAGCACTACCAGTATAAGACATCTTGTTCAGACATTGCAGTAATTCAAAGTAAGCCCATCAAAACCTGCAAAAATCGGTGACTAATGTTGAGTATCCATTGAACAGAAATCTGGCAAAACAGCTATTTTTCACTTACAACAGTAAAATAATGTATTTCTGTTCCATAAGCATAAAATGCTTATCAAGTTAATACAACATCCTCTCAATAGTCCACACTTCCAAAAAATATTTTGCAAACTTTCAACACATTCATGCCTTCTGTTTGAACTCCTTTTATTCCATTTGCTCTGTAAAAGTTTGCTATTGCCTTTTTATCAGATGCTTATACCTGTTCTTTGTCTGTTCCCTTTAAAGCTTAGTCCCTGACAGTTTTAGAGGATTGGCACCCAATTTACATCACCATGCAGAAAACTAGAATGACAGAATAAGATCCAAACCTACATACTCAACCTAGAGGTAGCACTATATGCGGCTACAAAATCATTCTTAACCATTGTAAAATGTGGCTTCAAAATAGCTCTTACATAATGAGTAGGCAACAGAGCAGCCTTTCAGCATGGTGAAGTAGAACTCTCTCTTGGATAAAGAATAGGAGAAATGTGAACTCCTGTTTAGCTCTAATACATATATGGAAAATAACATAATATTCCAAGTGGTATTTTGGGATGTTTTTAGCTTGGTTGGCTGTGTTTTGGTGGGTTTTTTGTAAAATGTAATATTTGTTTTTAATGAAAATCAATACCAATAAGGGGTGTTTATTTTTAATACACTGATTTTATCTGGGATGGATTTTATTTTCTTCATAGCAGCTCTTGTGGTGCTAAATTTTAGATCTGTGACCCAAACAGTCTTGATAACACACCCATGTTTTAGTTGTGACTGAGCAGTGCTTTCATGGTGTCAAGGCCACTTCTGTTTCTCACTCTGCCCCACCAACAAGTAGGCTAGGGGCACACAAGAAGTTGGGAGGGGACACAGCTGGGACAGCTGACCAAAGTGAAATCCTATACCATATGCCATCATGTTCAGCAGTAAAAGCTGGGGGAAAATAAGATGAAGGGGGATGTTTGGAGTTACAGCATCTATCTTTCCAAGTAAAAATTACACGATGCCCTGCTTTCCTGGAAAGGTCTAACCATCTGCCAGTTGATGGGAAGCAGTGAGTGAATATCTTATTTCACTTTGCTTGAGCATGCAGCTTCAAATTTACCTATTAAACTCTCTATTTCAACCCATTTTTTTCACTTTTACACATCTGATTCTCTCCCCATCCCACTGTGGGGGTAGAACAATCAAATGGCTGTGTGGAGCTTAACTGTTGGCTGGGGTTAAACCCACAACATTTGGTTACTGATTTTTATAGTCGGTTGTTACTTCTAAGGCTGATATGGACCAGAAATTGCAACTGATATTCACGGGGACCCAACTGCAGAGCAGCTTCTTCTGCACAGTCTGTGAAGGAGCAGGAGGAAGAATACAATGGTCAAGCCCAAGAGTTACAGAATGGGTAACAGAATGTTACTGTCTAGAAACTGTAGATAATAAGGTGTGAGGGATAAACACTGCAGCAAATACATAAAGACTATCAACAATCATTGACAAAACATCAATTTCTACAAATTCTAAAGAAAATGTTCAAGTCTGCAAACAAACCTCACAGATGAGGCCATTGGAGCTTCAGCTAAAACCTTTCTCTTACGCATCCTACTCACATGAAAGCAGCATCAGCACTGTTCTGTCTGGTTAAATGAAGTAGTAATCCAAAGTGAAAGATCTCTAGAAAGAAGTGAAAGAGCTACTATCCTGCATGCTACTCCTTAGGTCAAATACCTGTACAAATACATTTATGATAAGAGAATGCATTTCAAGGCTTTTTTTAGTAAGTTTAAAATTATGAATATTTATTTCTTAAATGCCAGATATAAATGAATCATCTTAAAGTAAACAAAATTCTGACTTCAGCAGAAAAGATTTTTTTTCTATTTTTAGCTCCTTATTCATAGGCTGTTATCTAAGTACTATCAAATAAGTAATATACGCAACATGATATTTGGTAAATATCTGATGTTTTGTAATTTTTTAAAGGGTGTATGAAAAAAATCTGTGTGGCTTTGTTATGTCTGAATCACTTAATACATGTACTCTTTAGAAGTAATAGAAAATTAACATAGAAGCTCTGTGTGCAGACAGGGTTTTTCCTCTCTGAAAATGAAGAGTACTCAAACTGAAACCATTGAGTTTGACTGGAATTAGAAATATAGTTAATTTATTCCTTATAAATGTTTTTGTTGCATTATTTCTTGCCAATGTCTTCTGAGGACCCAGCTGGACATAGTCCTTCACCTGATTACAAAATTGGTGGTTTTAAACAAGTAAAGAATATTTTCTGTGACTGTGTTGATTTCATAATTGCTAGGAGTAAATTCTGAAAGGCCTAAAAGGCTAATTACGTGATGAGAGTTGCATTCTTTTATATATACATGGTCTGTTCTTCTACACAAGATATTACAGGAACAAAAGTTAGATCTGCTTTTGCATTTCAGGTTTTTGGAAGTGTTTTATCAAATGAAATGTTAAAAGTTCAGTCAAGTTATGAGAAAACTTCTGCTTATAAGTAAATTTGCTTATAGAAGCATCATGTAGTTTAATAACATATTTGGAATTTTTGTTGCTGTTTTTTTCCAAAAGAAGAGAGAGAGATGTATGAAATAAACTTTGTTGATGGCATCCACTCTAGGTAGTTGCTGACATCATTCTATTATGGTTTATATTTTGACCTTGTCCACCTTTTAATAGCTACAAGAGGGAGATTAGTATCAATGTGTTTTGGCTATTTTGACAGAAATTTCCTTTGGGCAAGGATTTTACTTACTTGTAGCACACACCTACACTGATCACTAAAAAATAGAACAAAATTATTACTTCATGGGATGCTAGAGAATCTTCAGTATAAATTCTGACTCAACAAGCTCAGACAAATCCTTACAAAATGGAAGAGCAGTGGAAATTAATTCAAACAAGTTACTCCCTCCCTCCTTCCATCAATGTAATAGGCTATTAAAACTATTCTTAGGCCAAGTTATTTTATCAAAAGGAGGAGACAAGAAAGATAATTTACAAAAGTCAACATTAGCATGACCACACTAACAGACTGGGGAAAAAAAAAAAAAAAAAAAAAAAAAACAAAAAACCAAAGAGATAGTGACTTTGTATCAACTTGTCACTAGTTAATTAGCAGCTTTTGGTAACTGGAAGAAAACCAAAGTGAGAAGGAAGCTTTGAACAAGGTAACTTGATGGCTTTATGGCAATACTTAACATGAAGTGGTCTCAGAAAGTTGATTAGAGGCTCATCATTTAACCTGCATGAACATACAACAAAATAGATAACTTCTTCAAAGAGGCATGCAACTTCTTCCAAGTTCAAAAGGGCAAAAGATGTAAATAGGAAACATGAATATTATAACATTTCCCATGAAGAAGAAGCTGAGTGTTTGCTGATCCTGTATGTGGTATACAGTGGCTGCTGAATCACTTAAAGGTTCCCTGAGTCAGGAAGTTTTGAAGAGGCTACTTCTGAAACAAAAATCTGACCTAACAGAAACATGAAGTATATCTATTATCTATGACAGAGCTGGAGCTCTCATAAACCTAAGTCTTCATTCACTACAGAATTATGACAAGCTTCTCAGCCTCTTCCATATTGTATCTTTGTACTTCACAGTCCCTAAGAGCTTTTTCTCTAGCAGTCCTATGATACACTGAAATATTATTCATATATTGTTTCTGCAGACTTTGCAATATTGGCTTATCTATGCACACACCAATTTTCCTACTCAGAATTTTAAGTCAAGATTTAAGTTTCTCCAAGACTATACTCAATTATCAGCTAATTGTGTATGCCACTACAACTGTTTTACATGCTGAAGTATGTGACATCTAATACAATGCAAGTGAAGCTCTAACTCAAACCAGGACTCCTGCAGAATAATTCTCAAAGTACTGTACTGAGTTTGAGTAAGTGGTGGGGTTTTTTGATAGCAGGGGAGGGGGAAATAGGGGTGGTCCCCTGTGAGAAGCTTCTTAAAGCTCCCCCAGCTCCAACTCAGATCCACCTCTGCACCAAAACTGAGCCAATCAGCTGCACCTCTGTGATAATGTATTTAAGAAGGGATGTGGTGAGGAGTCAGAGTTGTGAGGAGGAGTTGTGGCAGCTGCGTGAACACTAAGGTCAGTGGAGGAACGGAGGAAGAAAAGAGGGGGGAGGTGTGCTGGAGCAGAGACCCCCCTGTATCCTGTGGTGAGACGTCAGGGCAGCCCCCCCTCCCCACCCACCACCCTTGAAAAGCTATGGTGGAGCAGACGTTGATTTATGGCCTGTGGCTTCTGATTGGACGATCAAGATGCTGTGCCCGAAGGCGGACAGGGTCTTGTGAAAAAAGGTAGACCCCGCTGCTGTAATTCAGTGCTGGGAGGATTTCAGCATGCGGGGGTGTCCCATGCCAGAACAGCTCGGGAAGGGCTGCAGCCCATGGGAGGGACTCCAGTTGGAGAAATTTGGTGTCCCATGACAGAGCAGTGTAAGGAAATGCTGTGGCCCATGTGGGGGACTTACATTGGAGGAATTTTGTGGAGGACTGTCTCCTGTGGGAGGGGGACCACAACGGAGCAGAGGGAAAAGTTCCAGAAGCTCCCCCGCCGAAAAATGGAAGAAGTGGCAGCACTGACTACACCCCCTTTACCTGCCCCCCCGCGCTGCTGGGGGGTGGAAGTAGAGATATGAGGAGCAAATCTGACCCTGGGAAGAAGGAAGGGGTGGGTGGAAGGTGTTCTCAAGATGTGGCAACGCTTCTCACTGTCCTACTCTGTTAAGTGTTGTTGTCAGTGTCTGTAATGAATCTATATTCTTTTTTTTTTTTCTCCCCCTAACAAGTCTGCCTTTTGCCCATGACCATAATGGGTGATTTGCTCCTCCCAGTCTTATCTCTAATCCCATGCCTGGCTCATTTGTCCCTTCTCATCACAGGGAGAGAAGGGAGGAGTGAGTGGCTGTGTGGTGCTCTGTTGCCCTCTGAGCTCAAACCATGACAAGTAGTTATTCCGCTGCTCTAGTTTCCAGCTCTGTTCAATACCGTATGTATGCACAAGGAGATTTAACAGAACCAGCTACATCTTGCAGTGGGAAATGGAGTACAGATTTTAGCAAGCAGCACAGGTGGGTTCCTGAGCATTCTAGGATAGCTCTTACTTCTTTTTTTCCACCTTTCTCTTTCCCAAGTCAGGGCACTGCTAATTAGCAGGCCATTTCTTAGCAGCAATCTAAACCAAATTTCCAAGATCTTGAGCAAATTTCCTTTCTCAGAAGACATTTACATGTTACTTGATGGTTCAACTGCAAAGTGAGGTTAGTGGAGCCAGGTAACATAAAGCATATTATATAGTATTCTTCATCTTACTGCTGAGAATTAATCCAGTATTAGCATTTCTGTATATATTATTGCAGAAATGTTTCAGTATTTTTTATAAATATGACTGAAATTATTTTCCTAATTTGCAACTGAGCATCTGCGCAGAATTTTCAATTTTACTTGCCACAATTCCTCATTAAAATTATTTTCCAACTAGAGAGAGACTTTTATGACTGAAAAAAGTATTTCTTACCCATGAATGTGAGGAAGTGGGGCACGTTTCAGCCCATTCCCTTTTATTTTTCTATTTGTGTTCTCATAAGCTATTTGGTTTCAAGGAACATTTATATTTTAGATGCAGTTTATTCAGGGGCTCTTTGGCCATTGTCTGGCTTTGTGCCTGTTCGGATGAGAGGGAAAATTGAAAGCAATTTCCTTAGAGGTGTTTTTTTTGCCTAATTTGAAGACCCACAGGTTCTTATATTTGCCTGAGTTGAAGCCATATCCAGAAGCTAAAATCAAGACTAATGCAAGCTTAAGTCTTACACTGCTTAATGAAAGCATCTGCACTGTTTTCTTTCACTGTTGAATGCTTCTGACAAACAAGTTGCCAGAGCACGGTGGATTTGTTGTCTTCCAGATTTTGTAGGTGTAGCAATCCTAGCATGGTATTAATTTAATGCATCAAATCTATACATTGGTGATGCTTCTTTTCAGTTTCTGTCTTTGTTTCTTTCCTTCAAAGAGAGAAATAACTGTCTAGATGTTCTGTGGTTTCAAGGGAAGGAAGGAACATACTAGGAACATACAAGCAGGATATTTCTAGTGAGAGAGAAGGGATATTGTATGAGATGGTACCTATAATAGAAGGTCCTTCCCCCAACATAGACAGTTTATGTGCAGTCTCTTGACATCAGGAGCTGAGAGTTCTCAAGTTAAGCTGAAAGGCAGTTCCAACTGCTGAGTGGTAACTTCCAGCTTGGACATGGCATGCTGCAAGAAGGAAGGTGTGGTACAAAACAGGTACCTAGCAAAAACCCCACACCCTAACTTCTCATTTGTCTTAATGGGAAAAGATGGATCATCATGATTAATTTTTTTCTGAGTGTCCTTTCCTTAAACTGTACTGATCTGTGGAAATGGATCCACTTCATGAGCAAGTTAGGTGACCCTAAGGTTTCTATTTCTTTCACCAGTGGACTGTACAATAGGATTGTCCCTTGTGTTGCCCAGACTGTGGTAATCCAGCAGAGTACTTTCATGCAAGTGGGGTGTAAAAGTGCCAACATGCCTATGGAAACCTACAATGCTCAAGTCCTCTCTACAGACTTGACTCTGTAGAGTGAGACTTATATGCCTAAGATTGGAATCCACAAAACCCAAACAGCTGTGTAGACACCTCCTGAACTGACCAGTAGAAAGTTGCAAGTGTTTGAATTAGAAATATATTTGCTTTATGTGGAACCGATATGTATGGAAAATCTGGAGCAATGAAGATTTACCATTAGTGGTTGGTGATCAGGCTAGGGAAGATATAATAACATTGGAATTACACATGCCCAGGGGCCTGACAGGATTTACTCATGAGTGCTGAGTGAGCTAGCCAATGTCATTGTGAGGCTACCTTAGGTTGTCTTTGACAGATTGTGGAGATGGAGGATCTTCCTAAGGACGAGGAGAAAGCAAATATCACTCCCATTGTCATGCAGGACAAGAAGAAGGATCTAGGGAAGTACAGACTGGTCAATCTCACACCAATCCCTCAGAAAGTTTTGCAGTTAGCATTTCTGAGTGCTCACACGCATGTCCCTGGGTTTGGTTTTAGAAATACACAGTCTCCTGGAGGAGTATACTAATATTCTCTCAAAGCAAGAGGTTGCTGTTACATCTGCTGTCAATAGGGCAACATGCAACATACAACAGACAGTAAGTCAATCAGTCTGAGTTGGGTGTCTGTGCCCAGATGCTGGCAGCAGAAGCTGCAG